CTCTCCTCTCTCCTCTCTCCTCTCTCCTCTCTCCTCTCTCCTCTCTCCTCTCTCCTCTCTCCTCTCTCTCCTCTCTCCTCTCTTTCCTAATCTATCTGCATCTCTCTTCTCTCTTTGGACAGAACCCACAAGACTGACACCGACACCTCTTGACATGGAGATACACTAATGTAATAGGCAGAAAGGAACATTGGGTTGCACCCCGTCGGTTCCAGGTGGCCTTATTTGGGCGACTCGGTCCTGACCTTATTTCTGGTAAGTCTATTTGCATTGACGTGGGAGGGGGATGGGAAGAGGACAGGTTGAGTAGAAGGAGTGAAAAAATTGCCCCCCTTTTCCTCATTATCTAGAAGATAGGAGGGAAATGATCGCTGAATGTTATCTCCACTGCCAATAAGATTATACAAAGGGAGGAGCGGGTGGGAGCACTTTGCGGAAGAAGCTAGGGACTGGGGAGCTCGCGGCTGCCAGACAATACCAGCCCGGAGTGGAGGGAGAGCATCCGGCAGTAGCGACTGGATTTCAGCGAGTCCAGCTGGCTCTGGGTTTCCCCGGAGGATCTGTGGAGAAAGAAAACCCTAGAGATGGGCGTAGGACTGTGAAACGCTGGAGATACTAAAGCCCGGGGTCCTGCCTATCGCTTATTGTGGCTGGTTTGCGTCGTGGCGGCCACCGTGACTGCACGGACCGCTATTAGCCGGGCCTCGGGACCTTTTCGCTGTATTGTTAGATAGAACTGCATTTTAATGACTGAGTCCCTGCTGTTGCCAAAGTGGAGGGCGATCTCCTGTCACATTGAAAAGCTTCCGTGAAGGATACTTTCAAAAGCGAGGCAGACATCAAGGTACTAAACGTTGAAATGTAGGCAACTGGGAAGAGAGGCTTATACTGAAGGGGAGCTACGAGAACCTGTATTCTGCAACATGTTTGATTTGCAATTGGAAATAAGATGGGGACAGGACGAGTGCAGAAACGGAAAGTTTCTACTTTCTATTTTGTGGCTATTTTCCTTATTCTCACTGTCTAGAAAATATACTTGCCATTTGGGGTATATGGGAGAACGAATAGGAGAGAGGTTGGCCGAAGTTTACAGGCATTGCATTTTCTTACATTTGTGAAACTAATTGGATAGTAGATGTTGATTAAAAAAAATACACATCACCAATATTGCTCTTTAATGAGAAGCTAGCCGAACAAGAAAAGAATCAGGTCGGCTCTCCCCTTGCCACTTAAAGTATATAAATACATAGAAATCACTGTCACTGGGGAAATTGCTAGGGAAAACCCAACTTAGAGGAATTGTTAGATTCAAGAAAAATGACAGGCTAACTAAGAACTAGTTTAAATATCTTAAAGTATTGCTTGTTTTAAGTGCTAAGTATTGCGGGGGGGGGGGTGTCCAGTGGCTGAGGAAGGAAACCATCCCTGTACAACAGCTCAATAGAGAACCTGCCACTGGGGCATTACTTCTAAATTGCTGCGGATTAAACAGCTGGAGGGCCCACTGAGGACCATTCAAGCAGGGCTGCCCCTTCTTGCCCAAACAGGGTGGTATCCAGAGAAGTGAGAATTCACCAGTCATTACACACAGTATTTCAGACAGGGGACATTTCAAGCCTGCCCTATACCTGCTCGCTTCATGGGCCACAGGCGACCGAATCCACCCTCTTGTATAACAAGGTAACTGGGATTCAACCTCATCCATAAATAAGCATGTCGAGAAAAAATAATTACCTCTGCTTGCTGCTTTTAATTAAAGCCTCGGGAGGGACCGTGGTGGATTATGGTAATGAGCAGACATGCGTCCCTTCCTGTAGGCTGCAAAGAAAGGTTAGCTGACATAGAATCAGTGGCCCTGACTCTCCACTTGAAATCCATTCGCCATGCTCCGCGGTCGCCGCCCGCTAGCTAAGTCTGCTCCCCTCATTAGAAGAAAAGAAGAAATCGCATTGAGGCACTGGGTTCAGTACATAGGACAGGACTGTCCTCTAAAGATTAAAAGGTTTTTTTGGGGGCAGGGGCTATATACAGTCAGAAAATCGACATATGCTGGTTAAAAAACAAACAAACAAACAAACAAACAAACAAACGAAAAACAAGCCTACAAAAGCCCTGCCTCCAGCCTAATGCTCCACTCTATAAATCCCAAGGTAATACAGACACAGTCTGCTCCAGTCTTCACAGGCTCTTTATTTTCTTTTTCTCAAGCAGGAAGTGTGCTCTCATCCTTCCCGTTCCAGTTATTTAAAAGGGAGGAATAATACTTCGAAGTTGGCATCTTTAAAACATGCCAGATTGGTCTGCTTTATTTTTAAAGTAGGAGCTATGTAAAAAAGCCGGCAAGTGCAAATAAAATATGTCTGGTAGCGGAAACTTGCTCTGCCGAGGTTCATAGCTGAAAAGGCAATAACAACTCTCTTCTTGTCCCGGGTATCTGTCTCCAGTGATGGAGGATTCAGGCATCCAGAGAGGTATCTGGGATGGAGATGCCAAGGCTGTCCAACAATGTCTGACAGACATTTTTACCAGCGTATATACAACCTGCGACATCCCAGAGAACGCCATATTCGGACCCTGTGTTCTGAGCCACACTTCCCTGTATGACAGCATAGCCTTCGTAGCCCTCAAGTCCACGGACAAGAGAACGGTACCTTATATCTTCCGGGTGAGTCTCAGCAAGTATGATGAAGGTGTCTGAGGGTAATTTCCTATTGTGGGTGAGCAAGGAGCCATCCTAAGGAGAATGTAATCATCTGCTCAGTCAGAGCAGAGCAAACACATCAAAAATTAGAAAAAAAAAAAAACTAGATTCAAATCACCAAGTGGTTTTCTGAAAAAAAGAAAGAAAGAAAGAAAGAAAGAAAGAAAGAAAAAAGAAAGAAAGAGATAATACCAAGGTTGTCTGAATCCGTGCCCTAGTTCTGAGTTCCCTGGATCATGATTTCCTAAAATGCTAAGGAGATCTTGCTAGGGCTGGGACTATTTAGGTATTAAATAGTCCTTGGGAGTACTTTTACAAGTATTGAGTATATTTGTTTTGTAACCTGGGAGATCTCCTCATCGCCTGATTATTGCTTTCTTTAGTTAACACTAGCTAGTGTTTAGAGTTTGTATTTAAATAAAAATGTTAACTGTTTTGGCAGCAAAGCATCGTTAAATCCACGTTTGTGTTTGTAACAGGCCTCTCTTTTCCTAGTCTTTCATTTTTTTATTATTTTATTTATTTACATACCCATGTTGCTCCCAGTCCTCCCGCCCCCCAGAGTTCTTAGTCTTTCTTCATGAAGAAAATCTGTTAGTCCTTTATTTCCGCAGTTAGAAAGATGAATGTGAGTGCTATAGAATAATTTATAAGACCAGAACTTGCCTTTTACTTCTGAAACACACGAAATTCCCCTTACTTTTGTCACGTGTGGTAATTGAAAAGGAAATTCTCAAGAGGCTAATCTGTAAGTCTGACTCAATATTGCAAATGATGGCTATCATACCAGTTGACTACAAACGCAGGGATGCTGTCCGACTTTGGTCAACTTTTGCAAACTTGGTTTCAGATAAATTGTTTGGAAAGAACGAAAACCAAACAGAAGAAATATCCCTGGTTTCTCTGGTTTCTGTCGTTCACGTGGACCCCCCCCCCCCCCCTTTTGTCTTTCTTAAATACTGTAGGTAGACACTTCGGCTGCAAATGGTTCCTCAGAAGGTCTCATGTGGCTGCGGCTGGTCCAATCAGCCCGAGATAAGGAAGAACAGAATCTCGAAGCCTATATAAAAAACGGACAGCTGTTCTACCGCTCTCTCCGCAGGATTGCCAAAGATGAAGAGTTACTAGTTTGGTACGGGAAAGAACTGACTGAGTTGCTTTTGCTCTGCCCGTCTAGATCTCATAAAATGAACGGTAGGTTGGCTCACAACGAGCGCATGGGTCCTTCGCTAGCTGGGGAGAAGTGCAGAGACCAGCGGGACTAACCCGGGTGCACGGGCGCACCGTGCTTTTCTTGGGCACCCCATAGGCTGGACGAAGCTCCAGAGGTGCTTTACGGAATGGAACTGGGACGGATGGGGAAGGAAAAGTTGGGGAGCGCCTGCCTTGATAAATGTGCAAACCAAGAAGGAAAGTTGCACTAAGTAAAATAGTGTATTCTTTTCTCGGGCACTCAGCCCGGAAAGATAAAATGGATTTGTTATGGAGATGATGGCTAAGTGGCCTAGGGGCGATGCTAACTAACCATGTGGGGTGTGTGTGTGTGTGTGTGTGTGTGTGTGTGTGTGTGTGTGTTTTCTCACTAAGCAGGGTCGGCTCCTTACACATGCTTGGAATGCAGCCAACGTTTCCAGTTTGAGTTTCCCTATGTGGCACATCTGCGATTCCGCTGCCCCAAGAGACTTCACAGCACTGATGCGAATCCCCAAGACGAACAAGGGGGCGGCGTGGGCACCAAGGACCACGGCGGCGGTGGTGGTAAAGAGCAACAGCAGCAGCAACAGCAGCAGCAACAGGAGGCGCCGTTGATCCCGGGCCACAAGTTCTGCAAAGCCGGCCCCATACACCACTACCCCGCGTCGTCCCCGGAGGCGAGCAACCCGCCGGGTGCCACGGGTGCTGGCAGCGCCAAGCCGTCCACGGACTTCCACAACCTGGCTCGGGAACTGGAAAACTCCCGGGGAGGCAGCAGCTGCGCGGCGGCCCCAGGCATCGGCGGTGGCGGCAGCGGCCACCAGGAGGCGGAGCTGAGTCCCGAAGGCGTCGCCGCGGGCGGCTGCAAAGGCAAGAGGCGGTTCCCGGAGGAGGCGGCGGCGGAGAGCGGCGGCGCGGGGCTGGCGGGCGGCCGTGCGCGCTTCTCCGAGCGGCCGCTGGCCACCTCCAAGGAGGAGCTGGTGTGCACCCCGCAGCAGTACCGCGCCGCCGGCAGCTACTTCGGCCTAGAGGAGAACGGCCGGCTCTTCGCGCCGCCCAGCCCCGAGACCGGCGAGGCGAAGCGCAGCGCCTTCGTGGAGGTGAAGAAGGCGGGCCGCACGGTAGGCTTGCAGGAGGAGGCGGCAGCAGCGGCGACAGACGGCGCAGGGGGCACGGCCGAGGACCCCGAGGCGGGAGGCGGTGTCGCCGGCGGTGGCAATGGCTCGTCCACCCCCGCGGCGGGGTCGCCAGGGGCCCCCGAGAAGCTGCTGGCCCCGCGTCCCGGAGGCGCTCTGCCCGGCCGGCTGGAGGGTGGGAGCCCAGCGCGCGGCAGCGCATTCACCTCGGTGTCGCAGCTGGGCAGCGGTGGCGGCTCGGCGACCGCGGGGACCGCGGGGGGCTCGGGAGGCGGCCAAGCGGCAGCATCGGACGAGCGTAAGAGCGCCTTCTCGCAGCCCGCGCGCTCCTTCTCTCAGCTGTCCCCGCTGGTCCTCGGCCAGAAGCTGGGCGCGCTCGAGCCGTGTCACCCGGGAGACGGCGTGGGTCCCACCAGACTTTACCCGGCCACCGCCGATCCGCTGGCTGTGAAACTGCAGGGGGCCGCGGACCTGAACGGAGCCTGCGGGCCCCTGGCGAGCGGTGGCGGCGGTGGCTTGCCCAAGCAGAGCCCCTTCCTCTACGCCACCGCCTTCTGGCCCAAGAGCTCGGCAGCGGCGGCTGCGGCGGCCGCGGCGGCCGCAGGGCCCCTGCAGCTGCAACTGCCCTCGGCGCTCACTCTGCTGCCGCCCTCCTTCACTTCGCTGTGTCTGCCCGCGCAGAACTGGTGCGCCAAGTGCAACGCCTCCTTCCGCATGACCTCCGACCTGGTGTACCACATGCGGTCTCATCACAAAAAGGAGTATGCCATGGAGCCCCTGGTGAAGCGGCGGCGGGAGGAGAAACTCAAGTGCCCCATTTGCAACGAATCCTTCAGGGAGCGTCACCACCTGTCTAGGCACATGACCTCGCATAATTGATGCGTAAAAGACTCCGGCTTTCCACGCGTGTGCACGCACAGTCAAGCCACCTGCAGGAGCAGACACGCGAGGACATCCGCCACTACCTTATGCCCCCAAACACTGCAACCAAACACGTGCACACACAGGTCCCTCCCCTTGCCAGGAACCTCATCATCCAAATGTTTAATTTCACACACACACACACACACACACACACACACACACACACACACACGCCAGGACGCAGGCACGCACGCGCGCGCGCGCACACACACACACACAGGATGGTGGATTTTGGATTGGGTGGGTTGTTTGAGGGGGTTTTCTTTTGAATGCACGAATTTTCACTTTCCCAAAAACAAAGGTACATTTTAAAAAATGTCATATATTGCAACATATTGATGCATTTGTCATACGTTTCTACTTAAATTATTAAGCACTTATGGTTTAGATGTAATAATTATATGTAAGGACAAAGTTTATTTTAGATATAAAGTAATGGAGGAAGAGGAGATGCATTCTGCATTTCCTGATGACAGCTGTGTTCTTACAAAAATAAACAAAATGAATAAAAAGGGGATCACCATTCAGTTTAAGTTTCCAGGGTCAAGTGCATGTATCATGAAATGATTATGGACTTCAGTGAAGAATGTCATCAATGATGTAAATATGTATTTCCTTTTAATACAAAGTGTAATTTTGTGCCAGTGAAATGGAGTCTGAATAGTTATGTGTTTCTTTTATCCCTAAAAGATTTATTAAACTTTATAGTTTATCCAGGTATGTTGGATGCTTTGACAATAAACAACTATTTTCCTCAAAGCAAATATTTGGAAAGTTTACAAAAACATTTTAGGTTAGTATAATACTTTGGGTAGTTGATGCGTTTTCATTGCCACCTTGAAAAGAAGAAAAGAGACCACAGTCTCCTCTGCAGGAATTTACTGCAAGCTAGTTTTGAGCCTAAGGGTGTTGATTGTCACTTGAAGATTCTTTAGCTGAAAGGTGTTGGGTTTAATGATCAAGGACAAATCACTTAGGCACAGTAATCGCCATACAGGTAACCTGTCAGGACGTTGACAATGTCTCTTAGAGAAGGAAAAGAATTAATCTCCACATAAGTGACCATTTTTTGGACAGCATCTGGAAGAAATAAAGAACGTCTTTATTTCTATCATCCATTAAAGACACCGTAGAGAATTTGTCAATACCATGTGAAAGATCCAGGTTTGGTGATGGTGTATCAAAGGACTCAGTTTCCACATCTGTACACACAGGAGTGAACCCGAGACAAGGATACTGGTTCTTTATGAAAAGTTGCTGTCATCTTCAGCTACTGTCTTCAGTTCTTAGACAACACTGTGTATGTGTCTGGTGTACACTGAAGCCTCTACACTAAAAGCCAAATGACCAATGAGCCTTCTTAGGCAGCAACCTCACCCCCAACAACACCTCTCTCTCCCTCTCCCTCTCCCTCTCCCTCTCCCTCTCTCTCTCTCTCTCTCTTTCCACCCTTCCTGGGAACAAACTTATTTCTCCAGAGATTGAACCTCCCCCTCCCTTTCTGTTGATTTTCCCCTTATGTCTGAAGGATGCCTGTGGATAGATCTTTAGTGGGAACTTCACACAGGTCTTCATTTCAAGGTTTCCCAAAAAGAGTTTTGAAGCCTTCATTGTTTAAGGCCACCAGACAGCAAGTTGCATTTCAAGTAGGGACCCTGTAAAGAATAGTTGTAGGGAAGGTAAATTTATTCAGCGAGTATGACCACGTTTGATGAAAAAGGTGTCTATCTTGGAGTCATTCAAATATTATTTTGGTACGATAATTCTTTGAAGCCTGCTTTCAGTTTTCCCACATAGTCTGATGATTTTACACTCAGTCTGCTTACAGTGTAAGTGAAAAAAGAATGGTCCAAAACTTACCAGTTTTACCTCTGCTACTGTTGGCTGGTGTTGGCATTGCTCACGTCATTTGGTGTGCTGTGGATTATTTATGTCTTCTATGAAACCTGTGAAGAACATTCCAGTGTCTTCAAATTACTTCTAGCACTGAAGAGGGTTTTTGTTTTATTGTTTCCCAGTGAAACAAATAATTAAACCTAATGAGAGATTTCTAGAAAAAGGCCAAAATTAGTTGGGAAGAAAACTGAATAGCAGGAACATGGGAAGATACTTAGGTGTGAAGCAAAAATAGTCCTTAGGTGCTGGCTAGATCACACTGTCTTACTGATTAAACTCTTTATGCTTGGGACACCACTGTATTACTGGAGCAGAAATCTAGTAAAAATGGGTAAGCACAGGCCGACTTGGGAATTACCTTTAAGAAAAAAAATACTTGAATTTACTTTCCTACTCTGTCCGAGCCTTTTGGAATTCCAACTTTCACTTAAAAAGCTTCATTATCAGTGGGGGATTCAGATGGAATTGAACTGTCTGAGAAAAATTCAGCGAATGCTGCTCCTGGAAAGGGGTTTCCGAAGGTCACACGCTAGTCCCTTCTTTACTCTCTTTGGTTTGATTATTATCTTACACATACCATCAGGCAGAAAGCCTCCCAATGACTGAGCGATCCAGGTAGGCAGATACTTTAGTTCCAGGCTTGGCTATGCCGATCATTCTGTACACGGACCGTTTTTGGCGGGAGTAGTAGGGGAAGCGTGCCCAAAGCTAGTTTTACCATTAGCCAAGGCAAACGGTAATGTTTTCTTGTAACGGACACTGTCAGATGCACAGCAATCGTTTCCGGATCTAAAACCCAGAAGAGACCTTCTAGAATTCCAAATCTCTCCTAGCTGAGGTCATTGGCTGAAGCTGTGTTAATGCGTGCGCGCAGCTGCGGAGGAAACAATGTCACCGGGCTCCATGACAAGCTGGTACCACAAATTCCATACCAGGTGTCCCAAGCTTCCAGGCCACGCAGGTGGCCTGAGCTTTGAGTGTCCTGCCTGAAAAGCAGGTCACAAAGTCAGCTAGTTGAGACCCAGCATTTGTTGTTTCCCAGTCACTGGAATAATGCCCGGAAGTGACCGGGCATCTGGGCTCCCCTTCTCCAGGCATTTGCGCAGGGAGGAGCCCATATGTTACAGGGTGTCTTTATGGGGTGCAGCATGCGCCGACAGGCCTGCAGAACAGGGAGGGGGCATGAAAGGACGCACGTGTATCTGCTGGAATGTACAGCCCTAGAGAGTTAAGTCCGAAATGAAATCTTATCTGGGAAAGTTACCAAGTCTTAGCAGCCTTGAGTTTGCAGCCAGAGTACTCCCGGAGCCTGGAGTGTGGCAGTCTCTGTAGGGCAGGCAGGAACTAGTTGCAAACACAAGCTGTGGTCTGGTTTCCAAATTGAGTGATGGGTCCTGTGTCGGATCTCTGAACTGTGGCTTCCTGGTCTCTGTTAAACTGATCCCTGATAGCTTAAGTCATTTAGGCGTTTTGCCAGTGAACATTACCTCTAATGGGACACTGTTGAACAAGCAAGGACCAGAAAAGTCCAGAAAAGGGCGAAGCACCCTTACCCTCTCCTCCACGCTTTCTGATTCTGAGAACTCAAGGCCCTGAGCAACCTCAACTGGAGGAGGGTCCAGCTCTTCCACTCATTCTGTTTCTCATATGGAGTTAGCGCAGGTCAGCCGACCTGCATAAGCTGTGCTGCAAGCTTCAAGGCTGTGGCAGTGGGCCTCTGGCAGAGTCCTCAGGCCATGCCCAGCTCCCAGACAGAAGACCTGAAGCAGTGGTGTGGGGTGTGTGTGTGTGTGGGGGGGTTAGACTTCCCTTCTTTCTTCCTGAGTGTCTGAAGCTTAGGTTCTGGAATTAATAGAGCTTATTCTACAGTATCCCCTGCTTTCCTAAATTCTCATCCCATCACTCGGATGAACTTTCTGTCTCTGGGTCACCTAAGCTTTTGTGGAGGTTTTCCTTCCCAGTTTTATAAGGAAAATCTCCTTGGAAGCTCTGCCCTTCAGGTAACTGGCACCAGTAGTTCCGAATGAAGATTACACTGTAAATTGCTCACCCTGGGATTGGAAGAGATGGACTATCCAACACACACACACACACACACACATCACACATCCTCTTCCAAGTTGTATGTATACAGAAATGTAAGTTTGCACACATGTCCACTTATATACAAACACATGCATAAACTGAGTATAAATTATAATACATACTTGAGCACAAGACAGGCAGGAAGTATTTTAAATATTCTTCCTATATTGACTTAGTTTAATCCTTACAACCTAACCAAGTAGATGAAAACTAAGAAGTCCATTCCCTCATGTGTCAGCATGGTTAGTATGGCTGTCAGCCTGGAACAGAAAGGTGGCTATTTAATTGGATAGAATATAAGGAATAGTTGTCATAAGTCAGCAGACATGCTCCAAAACTCGTGGTCTAGCTGTTTATGCTTCCTTTCTAGAATGTGAGTAATACCACCTGTGGATTTACCTATAATGATCTCTTTTGTTTTTAGATTTTATCTATTTATTTTACGTATGTGAGTACACTGTAGAAGAGGGCATAGGATCCTATTGCAGATGATTGTAAGCCACCATGTGGTTGCTGGGAATTGAACTCAGGACCTCTGGAAGAGCAGTTAGTGCTCTTAACCACTGAGCCATCTCTCCAGCCCCTATGATGATATCTTGAAATTCAACTAAAGTCATATATGTAGAAGTTTGCCATTCTGTCATACACAATAGATATCAGTATTCATGAGCAGGATAGACTTTTTATAGATTAATTTATTTATTTTATGTAAATGAATATCTTGTAGCTCTCTTCAGACACACCAGAAGAGGGCATCGGATCCGATTACAGATGATTATGAGCCACCATGTGGTTGCTGGGAATTGAACTCAAGAACTCTGGAAGACCAATCAATGCTCTTAACTGCTGAGCCCACTCCAGGATTGACTCTTATTCTCTCTTTATTTATCATCCTTAGCTGATTAAAACACTCTAGTACCTCGATGAGGAGTCTTTTGTGGCCTTAACTTTCTTTAATGGTCTTTGCTTATTTTTAACCATAGGCAAAAGCAATCACTGCATGACTTTGGAGGTACACGTGTAGTCACTCTTAAGACTTCTTCTAGTATCTCAAGCTTGCAAGAGAGCCACTGGGGGTGGGGAGAGAGGAGAGAATGTGAGACAAATCAAGTCAAGTTCAAGTTTATTCACTTGTATA